AGCTGCCCAGCACTCATTCCTGTGTGTGTACACACACGGCAGTGTGAATGTGTGTGGACTCATATGTGTGTAATGTGTGTGTGCATATTCATGCGAGAGTGTGTGGTGTGTGTAGGTGAATGTATGTATGTGTGTACTCACAGGTGTGTGTGTGTGAGCATGTGCATAAACATGCCTGTGGATGGGTGCTGATATGTGCAGTGTACACATGCACATCCCCAAGTTTGTGTGTGGGAATGTATATGGTGTGTGCACATACCTGCATGTGTGGTATGTATGTGCCCATGTGTGTGTGCACTATGTATACACACATGTCTACATGAGGGGATGGATGTGTCTGTGTGTAAAGGGTTACAAAAACTTTCCTGGAGCTGAGCCCACCGTACATCCACAGTTGACTATTTTGGTTGTTTTGACCAAAACTTGAACTCCACACTTTACAGTTCACTGGCCTTGTTTAAAAAGAAATAAAAGTGTGGTTTCCTGACTTGGAGCAAAGGAAGAGACAAACAGAGAGGAAGAGGTAAGGAGAGGCCCGGGGCAGTCTGGCCCATACACACTCTCCAGTAAATCAGAAGCAAATGGCTGAGTGTTTGGGCTTACAGGAAGTGAGGAGCATGTCTGTGAGAGGTGACATGGTTATCCTGGCTTTTCCCCACAGAGGTGGAGCTGTGAGGTAGAAATCAGTTAAGAACCAGGAAGCTGGAGCTCCATGGGTCATGCTGCACAGACAGCAGAGACAGCATCTTCTGACACTCGGCTACCCTGAGCAGTGGTGGCCACTGTGTCACTTCAGAGCTTGACACACTCAGCATGTCCTGGCGCCTGCCACAGTGAGCTGGGAAACAGCATGCATGGGATTTGACCTTAGATGGTTGATGCAGTGCCAATGCCATCCGTGTCCTGTGCAGCACAGGACTGGGAACACCCTGCGGCTCCTGTGTGGGGCTGTGTGTTACCTCTTCCCTTGGACTGTCCTTACTCTCAACACTCATCTGAGATGTGCTTTCCAGACAGCAGATCCTGGGACAAAGGTTAAGTGCTAAGGAGCTACTTGGCTGTAATTTCAGGGCAGCAAGAGGGAGAGAGTCCAGAAATGAGCACAGTAGTCTAAGAGAGGCCTCTGTGCTATCACTGTCCTTGAAGTTGCTCCAGTCAAGCAAGCTATGCCAGCCTGAGATAAGAAAGCTTCCTCCTGTATCTGTGGGCACCAATGTCTCCCTGGACAGCAGGTGCAGGCTGCCATCCCAGTAACTAGCATCGTCTTGCATTCGGGGGCCCCTGGGCAAGTGTCTGCTGTGAAGAGTCATCCCCAGGACACATTGTCACAGCCTGTTGACTAGGGGGGCAGAGTGGCCCAGGGTCCAGCAGACAGGAACAGCTCCTCCAAGCTAATTTCTGCTCAGTCTGTCTGACTCCAGTGCCCTGGCATTAACCTGTGATGGGCATATTCTTCTGGAACCAGATTACACCTCATTGAGTGCCCTTAGCTCTAGGAGGTAGCATCACCTGTACAGCAGTCACAGCTCTACCCCAGATCCCCCTGTTCCTCAGTGCAGGGCTGAGCATTGGGAGAGCTGCTACAAAATGCTCTGCATTTGCCGGCACTGTAGCCTCTGCTCTTGGCCCATTCTCAGTAACTATCAATTATGTGAATGAGCAATTGGCAGCAGGTGATCTCCCCAAAATGGCTTAGACCATGCCATTTCTAGTAGGATGTTCTTTCCCCTTAGACCAGATTCTTTGGCCTGACTTTGATGGTTCCTGTCTGTAGCAATGATATATGGTACCATGCACTGACATTCTCACACATGGGACATTCACACACCATGCATGCTTATGCATACAACAAATGAACACGTACATGCTAATTCAATGCAAGCTCACACACATGCACATTCAGTGCACACCTTACATGCTCACCTGTGTAACAGGAACACCTTGTATATTCACAACGTGCATACGTAGTGTATACACTCACACTAACTACGGAGTGGAAGAATCCTGACAAACTAGGTCAGCAGATTGAGGTCAGGCTACTCTGAAGACAGTGGCTTTGGGATCCCTCTCAAGTTCCCATTTCCTGGTAGGTCTCTCTCTCCAGGACAGGCATCCGGGGATAAACAGGCATCTGTAGCTAGGCTCATTAATCGCTAATGGGTCAGGCCCCACAAGCCACAGGCCTGGGCTGTGGTGGTAGAAATCGTCAGAGGATCACACTACAGGGCTGAGTCCCTTTTCTAGACATATGTCCTTCTGGGGCCCTGCTCTGGAACCAGGGAAGATACTGACGCATCCTGGCAGCAGTGACTCGGCTTCTGCAGCCCACTAGAGAAGACTCAGGGCGAGAAGCACACTGTGAAGCCGACGCCTTTGTCATGTCTCTGCTGCATCCTGAGGACCCTGACAGGAGTGACAGCATTGCCCAGCTGCTGCTCTGTACAAGAGTATCTGAGGCAGGACATGACAGTCAGAGCATCTGGTAAAGTTATAGCAGTTAGAAACAGCCTCCCACCAAAGCAGTCTTGAAAGAGGGGACGACAGGCAAAGGGACAGCATGTGCCACACTTAGAGACCACCTGAGCACCCATGACAGTGATACAATGACTGATGCCTGCACAGATTCCATAGCTGCCCAGACGTCGTCACTAGTGTATCAGTGAGGGCGTTCCTAGGGAGAAGCAGCTCTCGATCTCTGGCCTCAGTAAGTCAGACAGTCCTAGGGCGGGTTGTCACACTGAATGCTCTAGGGCCTACTTGGACAGGGCAAAGAGACAGACAAGGAATTCTCTCTCCACAGGTCTGTCTGCTGGAACATCCACTCCTGCCGGTAGCCTAACACTCTACCACGCTCCTGGCTCCCCATCTCACAAGACAGAGTAGGTTGTCACAGGCTCCATAGCTGTGACAATGTGGCCTTATTATGAGTCAGTCCCTCGTCCTCCACCCCACACCCATCTGTACCTGCCTTCACCCTCCTATTGGCCCTGTACTCAGAAAGCAGGGGCAGCAGCATGAGGGCCTGGCACACAGGGCAGATGCTGACCAGGGGTTTGGGAGTGCTGTTTCAGCATCCCCAAGGAGGCAGCCTCTGCCCTTGATCACAGCAGAGGCTCCACGGGCACCTGAGTCAGCGATTCTCTTACCCTGGGGCAGGGCCCAAGAGGTGGTTCTGGAAAGTTCTGAAAAGCAATTTACACAATAGCTTTCCTATCTCCAATTCTGAAATAATCACAGGGAAGGCAAGGAAACTTCAGAGTCTGGATGCTGGAGTCAATTGACAATGCCCCAGGACCTGCATCCCTTCCTCCTGGCCAGGAGGCCTCAGATGCTCACCAGCTCTGACCTGCCTGGCTGCTAACTACAGCCCTGACCAGCTCCATCTTCTGTCCAGACAGGGATTTGGCTCTCTCCGCTGACCCACCACTGTTCCCTCCATCTGTCCCAAATGGCTGGCAGGAGCTAGGGAGGCACTCAGGGTCATACTTTGCAGGTCACAGGTTGTCAGTGCTTACTGGACTTTGATTGGCTGAAGAGGGTGGACAGCACTGACTTCCAGCAGAGGGCTGGCTGGACAGAGTCTCAGGGAAGAGCTTTCCCTTCTGTACCATGCTGCTCCACACAGACATGCAAACCACGTTGCCAAGAGCAGGCTGGTCCTACCATGCCGTCTCAGCCGACTCTCTTGTGCACGGTGAGTTTCTACTTGCCTGCCTTGGCAATGGTCCCTCACTCCTATTCTGTCCTGCTCACCTCTCACCCTAGGAAGACCCCCTTCTCTGTGGAGAATCTTTGTTCCCAAGTTCTACTCTTTTTCATGGGGATACACAGTCCTCAGGGGCTCCGAACCAAAGGCACCTGTGTTGTGGTGTGTGTGTTTGTGTATGTGTCTACACATACAAATGTATATATGTATATATATATATTATATTTAAAAGAGACATATATATTTCTTTTAAATCCAGTTGTGACTGGATGCATCTGTAACCTCAGTGCTGGGCAGACAGATTCTCTGACCCTACCTGGACAGCCAACCTAGTTAGACTAGTGAGCTCCTGGTTTAACAAAAGACCCTATCTCAAAAATAATGTGAAAAGCCATTGAAGAAGACATCCAGGATCAATCTCTGGTCTCCACATGTATTCTCACCTGTGCACATGCATAAGTGTGTGTGTGTGTGTGTGCAAAGTCGTCATACACACACAGACACAGACACACACACACACACACACAAACACACTAAAAAGACATGGAAGCTTTATTATCATGAAGTGTCATCTGAGACCTTTGAGGTGGCAAAAACCAGAGTTAGAGCTTAAAGTCAAGAGTTGCTCAACCACACGAGCAACTCTGGCAGGTGCCCCCCCCCCAGAGACTGGCTTCTGCATAAGGTTTGTTAATGTCAGTAGGAGTTAGCACTTTTGGGTAATGGAGCAGTTTGGGATATCTTTACTTGTATTTTCCCCCATTGTTCTGTATTGTCTGAATTTTTCACTATATCATCATGTATTGCTTTTTTTGTTGGTTTGTTTGCTTGTTTTGTTTTTGTTTTTGGGTGTAGCCCTGGCTGGTCTGGAACTTACTCTGTATGCTATGCTGGTTTTGAACTCACAGAGATCTGCCTGTCTCTGCCTTCTTAGTGCTGGGATTAAAGACATGCACCACCACAACTCAGCAATCTTTCTTTTAAAAAATTATATTGGTTGATTGACAGTGTGTGTGTGTGTATTACTTTTCTAGAGTTTTTTTCCATTATTGATACAGAATTTCCATTCCCTGAGCAGTTCCCTCATGGCCTGTGGAATATATCAAGTCCCACTTGTGGAAGCTTGTCCCAGATGCCTGGGGATAAAAATAGAGGTCACTTGGAAGTTCAGGGAGGGAGCAAGGAAAGGAGATCTGCTCACAAGCTTTTGTTTTTCTGTGTCATGAATTAAAAAAAAAAGCAAGTACTGGAATAGCTACACGTTGACTTAGTAAATACAAAAATCAGTCTACAATTCAGTTAAAAGCAGTTTATTTATCTGAGGAATTGGAGGCTTCCTTTGCAAGTCAGTAAATGGTAGTCTGGGAAGAGGAGCCAATTGCTAAGATGAAGATGAAGCCTAAATCGGAGAACAGAGTATTAGACCAAGAAACATCCATTTAGGGAAGCTTCAGACATGAGTGAAGTGTGGGGGGGAGAGGGAAGGAGGAGGAGGGGGAGGGAGAGTGAGAGTGAGACCCAAGACCATTAGAGCCCTGAGAATGTCAATAATATCCCTAGATGCTAGACTGGAACTACAGGGTTGGTGTTTGTGTGCTAGACATGGAGCTACAGGGTTGGTGTTTGTATGCATGTGTGCACGTTTATGTGTACACAGGTGCTGGGTACAGCTGGCTGCCATGCCTGCGTGGTTTTATATGTAGGCTCTGAGGATTTGAACCTTGACTATCACACTTGCATGATTGATGATTAAAAAATTAACCACCATAAATCTATCCTATGTTAACTTGACAACTAAACACAACCACTTTAAATCATAACCTTCTACCCCTGGCCCCAAAAGTGTCATGTCTATCTCAAAAGGCAGAACATATTTAGTGCATCCACAAGAGTTCCTAAAGTCTTAACAATTCTGACATTGCTCAAGATCTCACATTTCAAAGTGTTTTCCAGTACCCAAAGAAATTTTTTAATGGTGAGTTCTTATAGAATAAAAAAGCCAAGTTGTATACTTACAGTGTGTAAGATACAGGTCAGTCCAATTCTAGAAGGGGGGAATGGAAAAATAACAACAAGGCAAGACCAATGCAAGAACAAGATTTAGTTATACTACAATAAGTAAAGTGGAAAGAAAGATATCTGATGTGAATTTTGGACCTACACATGCACATGTACACATGGGTACCTATGTACACATACACGCCACACACACACATATGGGAAGGAAGGAAGGAAGGAAGGAAGGAGAAATACCCAGATATTACAGATACAGGTGTTTTGTAAGGGTAGACCCACCTGAATGCACATGGCACCACCCCTAGGGCTAGGAGGGAAAGGAGAAAGTTAGTTGAGCCCCATCCTTCATCTCTCTGCTCCTGACTGTGAACCTGTATATACCATGTGCTTTTTCCTGCCAGCTACCTTGGTCCTGCTGCTGTCTCAGCCCCCAATATTAATTATGAAGCTGTTGACCATATGCTATGGTTTCTTAATGGCTATCTCTGACTTAATTATTAACCCATAATTACTAATATATATCTTTATAAGGACTTATCTTTCCAGGGACACCATCCTCATGTGTCCTCTCCTTCTAGGATCACATGGCTCCCCACTCTTGACTACATTTCCCAGAATTCTCCTCGACTCCTAGTCCCACCTATCTTGCTTCCCTATTGGCCAACAGTGCTTGGTTTATCAACCAATCAGACAAACATATACCCAGAAGGACTTCCCCCATCATGAACCCAATATGACCATCTGCTTCCACTCACCTTACACTCCTGTGGCCACGCCTTCCTCCACAGGTGGGCTGTCTGTCATCACCAGGAGTCAGAATCTACCCTCCTTTGGTAAGGCAGCCATAACAATGAGAGCAGTATTACTTTTTCTCCCCTCCCTGTCCTTTCTTCCCTTCCCTCCTATGTCTGTTCTACCACCAATCCCACCCCATTTTGAAATGTGCTGACTAATTGGAAGTTCATTTTTTCTGCAATGATATGGTCCTTTTCAACAGAAAAGGTTTGTAAGTGGACTGTTCTGCATCTGAGGCACAAAATTTCCCCTAAGTGCTGACATCTATGGGGGTGGGTGCCAATTTTACCACTCAGAGTTCACCATAATCAAGGGGTGTTCCAACTCATGGGCATCTGAAACCACAGATTGCACCAAGTCCTATATATGCCATGTTCTCCCTGTACCTATACCTTTGATAAAAATTATAAATCAGAAAAAGTAAAATACTAACACTAACTGATGATAAAAATAGAACCATCACAAGACTCTACTGGAGAAAAGCATCTAACATCTCCTTTGTGTTACCGTGGAGCCATTACTAAGTAAAGTCGGTGATACTGGACACAAGCATAAGACATCATCAGGGTGACGACCAGAAGGCTGCTAAGTGACTCCAGACAAGTGTGAAGTCACTGCACAGAGAGATGAGTCACATCCCAGAGGGACAAAGCAGTATAGTGCAAGATACGCAGAATGGTTCATGATTTAAAAGCTGTGAACCATTTTTGGTATTTTCCAATAGTATTTTGGGACTACATTTAGCAGTGGGAAAGAAACTGACAGGGAAAGAAACCCTTTGGACAAAGTTCTTGGAGAACTACTGTCCCCATGTCCCCTTTCTGTGTGGACTTCAATCCTCTTTGCAGATGTGCATTCCCAGATCTGAGGAGGCAAGGACCTGGTAGGATAAAGCTAGAATGGGCCCCTTGTCCCCATCCTGGGGACCTGCAAAAACCTGATGACTCTATTGCTGCACAATGGACCAGACAAGCTGGCAATTGTGACATCCCCTGGAGACTCAGGCCCCGATGACGTGGGCCTTGCTATGACGGAAGAAAGCACACTCAGTGAAATGATCTCATCTTGCTTGGGGAGTGTAAGTAAATTTACATGTGCCTGCAAGGCCAGCTTAGAAGGAAGGGGCCCTGTGGCCTCTGGGTGGCCATGCATCAGCCATGGGAACAGGGCCTGCGTCCTGTAATAAGCGCAGTGTCCCCGGAGTGGGGACAGTGGAAAGGAAGCCATCAGACAGAAATGGGGTTTTGCCCACCAGGGGGCAGAGGTGGTTCCGAAAACCAAGAGGGAGCTGCAGTAAAGGGGCAAGAAATTGCCTTTCAGGTGGAGGAAGGAGGACAGGCAGATGGCTAGAGGCGAGGTCTGCGCACAGAAACAGTGCAGGCCAAATGGAAAATAGATGGAAGATTGGTGGCAGTTGGGTGGGGGCAGGGTGGGGCAGTGTCTGTGGAGCTGGGTGAGAATGCATGGGTAGGCATGTGGAGGATGGGCACAGTTTAAGCTGAGTGGTCCCTTCAGCTCCGTTCCACACCCCCACCTCATGGGTGCAGTAGCCACCCAGTCAGGCCGGGTGGTTTACAGGGAGTGATGTCAAGAGCTCCTGGGCTGACTAGTAGCGTGATCTGAAGCACGGGGGAGTCCTCATTCTGTCAGCTCCACCCACACCCACCTGCCAGGGCACCACTGTGGTGCCCATCAGAGGGGAAGGCCTCCGCTGAGAAGGGTCTGAGGCTCTGCCACCTTCACAGAGCCATTGTGTCCTCCAAACAGCAGTAGTAACTCCACCCCACCATGCCATCTCTCTTCTCCCCACAGGCTTTCTGACACAGGGATTGGGTCTGCTCGGACCCATTGCTACTTCAAGAGTGTGGGCTCTGAACAAACACCATAGGAGACTCAGTAGAGAGAGGGAGGGAGGGAGGGAGAGAGAGAGAGAGAGAGAGAGAGAGAGAGAGAGAGAGAGAGAGAGAGAGAGAGAGAGAGAGAGAGAGAGAGGGAGAGAGAGAGCTGGACAGGTATGTGGGACTCAGAGAGGAGAAAGGACAATTGTAGGAATGCTTTGTGGCAAGCCCCTAGGGACCTGCACCTCAGCCTTCAGCACCACTGCAGAGGTCACGTGACTGGGAGAGAGGCCAGGAGTGGGACCAGGGTACAGTGACTTCTGCCAGCCAGGTTTGGCTGGGGAAGCTGCCACCACTGGGTGAAAACACTTTACTTTGCTGTTTTCTTCTTTCCTCTGCTGGGATTCAGAAAATGCTGACTTTCCCTTCCATTGCTTTGCTGGAGGCCTGCTGGGGAAGGGGGGTCATGCGGGAGGGAGCCACTCATGCCTGCTTGAGGGGCATATGATGCACCCCATCCCAGGAGCACCTGTTGGGAACAGACCCACCAGGTTCTAGGCACAAAAGGACTTACTGTTATCAAGAAAAAAGGAGCCAGAATCTTAACACCCCCAAATGTCTTTAAAGAAGTAATTGCTTGACTGCAATTATCTTAGGAGGCTTAACTAACCACATGGGTGCTTTTGAAGAATACTTGACTTTAAAATTCCTCCCACGGCCCCCAAGGGTGGGGGCTCCCATGGGTGCCCGAGGCTGCATCCAGGATCTGAGCGATGGACAGGGCGCACTGTGCCCTGGAAGTGTGCCAGCAAGGCTTCTGCAAGAAGATGGCCCTGCCCAGGAGGCGGGTGGCCCTGTTGCCATGGATACCGCCTCCTTGACTGCCTGCAGGGGAGCCAGGCACCTGGCAGGGCTCAGCTGAGGTGCTGAGGAAGGGGCCAGTGGGGGAGGAGGAGAGAGAGTGGTTTTCTTGCTTTCCCTCTTGATGAAGGGGGTACAGTCATCCCCTTCAGGAACGATAAAGAGACACCAGGAGAAATGCACAGCACAAGAGCTATGCTCAGCCCCTCATCACTATCTCCTGCTGACACTCCTGCAACTGTCATCCACATCATTTCCATGGGCCAGGCACCACTCATCTGATCCACTGAAGGCTCCGGACTTTGAGAGAAATTCCCGGCCCTCTCAGAGGTGTGAGCAGGGAGCCCACGCCAAGACACACACAGCAGAAATAAACTTCCTGGGCCCCTGGGACGCTCTGCCTGACGCTGTGTGGGCAGGCACCCCAGAGATTCTAGGTAGCAACTTATTTTTAAAGAATCGACCTGAAAACAATTAAATGCAATTTATGAAAACAGTAGGAAAAAGTGAGCGATGAGCCCAATTAGAAGCGTTATTTTAGGTGTCAGAATGGCAGCATCTTTGCACATGCTGCCATGCTGGGGTTCAGCTTCTTGCTGCTGCAGAAAGACAATCACCCTGGGCCAGGTGGAGAAGGACTAGAGGGAAAAGACCTTGAGGAGATGCTACCCTGGAATGGATTCTTCGTAGGAGAGGAAACTGAGACACAGAACTGAAGGCAACTGCCAAACCCACATATCTCTGCTCAGACCAGTCTCTCTCCACAGCCACAGGCTAAAGAGAGCTTGACAAGTGCCCCCAGGGGAGGGCAGAGCACTTCAGACCAACATGGCTCTGGGCTGCTCTTGGGAAGCTGGTGATGGGCTGATGTGCCCAGTAGGGCACCACCATGATGGTGGTGGCAGGTGCCCCTTGAGGTGACCCACTGCCTGCCTTTGCACACCCATCTGCTGCTGAGGGCGGGCCCCAGGGCTGACTCTGCAAGCCAGACAGAAATGCTTTGGCAGGCCGAGTCCAGCCTCCATGGCCTCTCCAAACTCTTGCTTCCTTCCAGAAGGAACTCTTCTCCATGCCAAGTGCTTCAGTGAGGAGGAAGACATGGGTACACATGGCAGACGTGAAGGGAGGACAGAGGAATAGCAAATGACCAAATGACCAAAGCCAGCACCTTCTCCCCAAGGGATGAGTACATTCCTCATACTTGCTCTACCAAGGGGAAACTGAGGCAAGACCAGTTTAACAGCTTCCTACAGAGGACCAAGGCAGGTTCTACACTTGTGGAACCAAGTTGAAGTCCCCACAGTCTTAACCTTGACATTATCCTGACTTTATTACCCAACTCCAGGAGGCTCCCTGGTTGTCTAAGAGATTTGAGGGTGGGGGGAAGCAATTGGCCACCCTAGCCTCCTTGCCAGAGGCCTGTTCCTTAAGGGTCTCCAAGGAGCAAAGATTTCCCACTCCTTAGCAATTTGCTCCAAAGACACAAGGAGTGAGAAGGTCTCACCTGCTGGCGCACCCTCATCTCCTCTCCAAAGAGTGGAAGTCATGCTTGGCCATCAAGAGCCTCCAGTTGCTCCTCTTCCAGTAATGGACCCAGGCATGCCTCAAGGTAGAGTTCACGGGAATCCTTGTTATGGGAACACAGAGCAGCTCCTGAGGCCATTTCAGCTAGCTCATGACCAAAAGGATTAGGCATAGTCACCTCTCTCCAAAGCAGATCCCACCTTCCCCACCAACTGAGCAGACAGGCCAGGCTGGGACAGAAGTCACATGCCTTTTCCCTTGAGCCTCACCCCTTGGCAAGGGCCACATGCTATAGGTCATCAATGGCAGTGTGGCACCTCTACATACCTTTGCTTACCCAGGGAGTGGACCCCCGGGTCAGCACAGGAAGGCCCCATTACTGGTCTCATATGCTTGTGTCCGCGTAGGACTTACCACCCGATAAGCTGGCTGCTGTGGGCACCAGGGAAGGCATCAGTCTGACACTGGGTTCTGGGAAGTTTTCAGTATGACTTAATTTTGTCTGGAGACTTCCAGAGTTTTGCAGCTTCCTAGAGGTAGTCTCAGATGAAGACACTGCTACTCCTGTGATCCAAGCTATAGGCCCGTGAGGCCCCACACCTGCCGTGTCCCCAAAGTTGCTCAGTGTGGGCAAGAGGCAAGCATTTTTTGTTTTCCTCACCTTTTTCAGAGTAGGAATAACTTATTTTCCTGTTGTGATAGAGAACGCTGTCCACAGGTCCCAATTCCAGTGATCAGGATACATGTCGTATCACAGCCAGGTGGCAGAGTCACTTGGAGTCCCAGGCCCTACTCAGCTCCACGCTCAGCTGTCCCACTATGGGGCCAGGCCTCCAGCAAGTCTGGAGGAGTTGGTCCCACCTCTGCACAGTGAGCCCCAGGGTGCTGTGTGGGTGGACTGGCACTGTCTTCTCCATGGGGGAAGGAGGGACCCTGGAGGGGCAGCCCTCCGCCAAGCTCAGGGCTGAGTCAACCAACCTCCAGACTCCTCCTCCACCCTTCCATTCCCATGCTTCAGGGTCCCTCTCCAGTCAGTGGAGAATCAGCCTGCAGCCAGGCTGGGCCAGACCCTGGGTGTCTGCAGTAGACTCTTCCCTGAGTCTGTGGGGGATAGGATTGACCCCTTATGGCTCAGATGAGAGCTCTGACATTTGGGGGACTGACTTTCCAGGGAGCCCAGGATGACTGAATTGGGAGTCAGGGTCCTCCATCAGCAACAGCATTTTCTCTTTGCATTGTTTCTGCCTTTCCTGGGATCCCTGACTCTAGGCACAGGGTGGGGCCTCATATAAGCACATGATAAAATGATGATGGTGGTGGTGATGATGATGATGATGATGATATAGTAATATCAACAACAATCCTCCTTGGCTGGACATGCTCTGCTCTAACTTCCCAGGAGCCTCACTACAGCCAGTCTGGTCAAGGGCTGCTGTGCTAGTTCTTAGGCTGGGCTGGTGCCCGCTCAGCTGTGCTGACCCCACCTCCTGGCACTCACAATGATGACTCACACCATCCTCATCAACCTCTCTGGGCCAGTGAGGGAAATAGTCGGACACGGAACCCCCAGTGGGAACCCACGGGGTCCTGATGCTGATCTGGGAAAGCTCTGGCCTCTGGGGCCTCTGTGGTAGCACACAGCACTGCCCCATGGTCTAGAGTACAGCTCTTTACCTGTGGGTCACCACCCCAAACAGGGCTGTGTGACTGAGTGAGGAGGCTGTGATTAACCTGACACCAGCAAAAGTCTTCCTGAGGGCAGCGACCAAACATCAATTCAAAAATCAAATGAATGATGAATTGGGTGTTCCAGCAGTACTCAATCACAGTTTCACACACCTTCACTGCTGCCGTGATTCTGAA